AGACTCTACTGTGAGGAGGAAGCTCTTCCCCAGTGGAATTTTGAGTGCTTTCCAACCTAAAGGGTTCATGTTCTGGCACTCTATCTAGTAGTGTTCTTCCATTGTTCATAGTGTTTGCAAAGGCCTTTTATTTCAGAGGTGTGGCCAGTCCTGCTTCTTTGTCTGCTAGTACTTGATATACCTTATCTTCTAACATCACAGCAACACACAGCCACCCTAGTACAGCAAACTGACAGACAAATGGTGATTATAATAATAGAAGATCTATTAATTGTGCATCCTCTATGTATTTTTAATGATGTTATCCTGCTGAAGATTATCCAAAAAAACAACTGGAACAGTAGATTGGCAGAGAACTTCCAGAAATACAAGCTGGATTTAGAAGAGGCTTGTGGCACTAGGAACATCACAGCCAGTGTCCGATGAATCTTGGCTGAAAGCAGAGTACCAGGAAAAAATGTCTCTTTGTGTTTTATTGACTATGCAAAGACACTTGACTCTTTTGTGGATCACAACAAATTGTGGCTAACCTTGAGAAGAATGGGAGTCTCAGAATACTTGATTGTGCTGATGTGAAAGCAGTACTTAGACTAAGAAGCAGTCATCCAAATGGAGTAAGAAAACTCATCATAGTTCAAAATCAGGAGAGGAGTGTGTCAGGTATGTGTCTGTTCTCCATACCTTTATAATTTATATGCTGAACAGATCATTGGAGAGGCTAAACTTTATGAGGAGGAATGTGGCAGAACTGGAGGAAGATTCATCTACAGCCTGCCTTACACAGGTGACACAATCTTGGCTTGCCAAAACTGAGGAGGACCTGATGAATTTGCTGCAGAAGATCAAAGACTGTAGTCTTTTTTTTTTTTAATTTTATTATTATTATTATTATTATTTTTGTGTGTCTGTGTACCGTCAAATCAGATCTGACTGGTACAGGAGGAGATTGTCCCTCCTTTCCTGGCAGAGCATCTGGTGGATTCGAACCATGGGCCTCTGGGATTGCAGTGCAGCTTCTTGCCACTAGCAAAGACTGTAGTCTTTAATATGGACTGTCCCTCAATATCAAGAAAACAAAAATTCTTATCACTGGGCCAGTTGACAGTGTCACAATAGATAGAGAAGAGATTGAAATTGTGAACAATTTTATCTTACTTGGGTCCACAAGGAACACTCTGAGCATTAGTAGTCAGGAAATCAAAAGACAAGGTGCATTGAAAGTATATTGTCAGAGGCTTCTCCAGATTTCTGGAAAGCAATTTTAACAGTCTGGAGACTAAGATGCACCTGATCCAGCCCATGGTCTTCATAATTACTTGTTATGGATCAGAGAGCCAGACAATGAGTAAGAATGACACAATTGATGTCTTTGAGTTGTGGAGAAGAGTATTGAACATACCATAGACTGCTAAGAGAACAAACTGTCCTGGAGAGGGTAAAACCACATTGGCTCTTTGGAGGCAGGATTTTGTTGTTTTTTTTTTAATGATATAAACTATAATGTATATAAATAATTGCATAAAACACAAAATACATGTATAAAACATGATGTATACAAATGAGTATATGCAAACTAATTAAAAAATTTTAAAAATAAAAAACACAATTTCCAAAATTCAAAACAATATACTCTCAAAATAAAAACTATGAAGATATATCAGAACTCCAAAATTTTAAGTGGTGATTTAAACATAACTTTCTCAAATATCAAGTCAGAAAGGCAAAAGTAATGTAATGGACAATGACTTAGAGTAAATGTGAATTATGAGATATATGCATAGTTCATAAAAGTGCTAAAAACAAAAAACCCTTTAAAAATCAACAGCACTTCTATTCATAATCATTAGCAAGAAACAAATAATAGAAACAATCAGAAAAAAGGATGATTCACAACAACAGCAAAAATCAAATTATGTGATCATCTCTATTGATGCAGAAAAGACTCCTGACAAAATCCAACACCCTTTTCTGATTAGAGTACTCAACAAAATAGTAATAAAGGGGAATTTCTTCAACATAATATTGTACAGTATAGCATAGTATAGTATCATGTAATTAGCATATATGCTAAACCAATAGCCAACCTCATCCTCAATGGAGAGACATTCAAGGCACTTCCATTGCTAACAAGAACTTGGTAAGTATGTCCAAGATCAACACTCCTATTTAATATAATGTTGGAAGTAATAGTGAGAGCAATAAGACAATAGGAAAAAATAAGAGACAGGATTTTGAAGCTTTATCTTAGTATTTTGGGCATGTTATCAGGAGAGACCAGTCTTTGGAGAAGGAGCTCATGCTTGGAATGGTGGGGGGACAGCATAGGAGGAAAAGACCCTCAGTGAGATGAACTAGCGCGGTGACTGTGGTGATGGGGACAGGTGCATTGGTGACAGGGCAAGTTTCATAGCTACTGTTGGTCAGTTCACTATGGGGCGTAGTCAACTCAAGGGCATATAACACAATGTGTTTGCATATGGTTATAATTTAAGCAGCAGAAAAGTTACATACTACTCTGTTCTGATTAATATTTGATTAAATGATTACTCACATCTGGAATCCTCCACATATTTTTGAACAATTAGCTTTCTTAACTTTCTTGTTATAAGATGCCATCAAGTCTCTTCTTACTTGATGACTTGGCGTTACAACATAGAACTGTCCTGTAGGTTAGTATAGTTTTATGGGAGCAAATTGCCAGTTCTTCTCTCCTGCAAAGCCACTGAGTTAATTAATTTTAACCGCAGCTTAGTTGCTGAGCATGTAACCATTGCACTCCAGAATTCCTTACCTCTCTTCCTTCTGACTAGAAAAGGAGATACTTTAAATGGAAAAAAAATAAAGCATTTCTCAGGCTTTAAACACAAATAAAACCCAGACAATACTCCTGTCTGCTTTATTTAGCAACCTAGACTAGTAAAACGAATTAAACAGAGAAAACTGGGTAACTTCCTGCTCTTGATCATAAAGGTGGCTCTTGTACTCAAAGAGCTCTGTTGGCATGGTGTTTTAGGTTTCTTGCTCCAAGGGAAAAAGATGGGAAAGTATCCTACAAAAATGTACTTACTATTTCAGATGCCACTGGAGAGCCCATGAGTCTTATCACTTCCATGGCAGTGGGTTTGGGTGTGATGTGGTCAGAAACAACTTTTTCTTAGGATTGAGAGGTTTGTGTTTCTGGATTACCTTTTCTTTACATTCTTTTTTTTTTTTTTTTTTTTTTGAGGGCACATAAAAAATAGAAACCTAGACTAGAAGAATATAAACTCCTTTGGGTTAAAAAAAAACCCCACCTCCATAGGTTATTTAAAATTAAAGTCTTTTTTGAAGATGGAGTATATAGGTATGGAATGGAAGGTCAGTCTTTATCTAAAAGTATCAAGTTCTAAGACATCCCTTTTGGGAAAAATAACATACCCAGGGAAGCCTCTTGATTGCAGGTGCTTGTTTATTTTAGTGCTGAGCTTTTAATTAATAGAAGATAGAGGAAGAGAAAATTACTCTTCCTGTGGGATACGTAAAGTGACTAGGTGTTGATCCTAATGAGACTCTACATAAGACTTTTCCTCTGAGTAGTGTTGGAAGTGACCACTCGAGTTTTTAGTTTTCATGTAGTTCGAGGGGTTTTTTTAAAATCTTAAGAGAATGACCAAGTCCAGCTCATAGTAAATATAAACTGCCTCTCTAGTTACAGATCACATTTTTTTGTCTGAACAGCCAAAAATGTCTTAAATACAGAAATTTGTTTTATTGATATTTTTTACTTTATCTTGACACTATTTTGAGCCCCTAGTTAAAATCAAGTGTTTAAAAACAACAAGTGCTTGTGAGGTTGTAGAAGATTGGAACCCTTATTCATTGCTGGTGAATGTTGTTGTTATGTTCCATCGAGTTGCTTGTGACTCATAGCAACCCTATGTACAACAGCCCTAAACTCCGCTCTGTCCTGTGCCAATCGCACTGTCTCTGACACTCCCATCCCAATTAACCCAGTCACTGAATCAAACCACCTCATAGAGGTCCTTCCCCTCCTACACTGTCCCTCCACCCTCCCAAGCATGATGTCCTTCTCCAAGGACTGGTCTCTCCTTACAACATGTCCAAAGTATGTTAGATGGAGCCCCGAATCCTGGCCTCCAAGGACCCACCCGGTTTAACTCTTTCTAGGATGAATCTGTTTGTTTTCCTAGCAGTCCATGGTACTCTTCAATACTCTTCTCCAGCACCACAGCTCAAGTGTGTAATACGGTACAACCACTGGTAAAGGCAGTATGGCACTGTCTCAGAAAGTTAGAAATAGCATTTGACCCAGCATTTCTACTACTAGAATTATACCCTAAAGAAACCAGAGCTGTCACCCAAACAGATATATGCACACCAAGAGCCCATCAGCAGATGAATGAATAGAAATTCACACAATGGAATACTCTGCAGCACTGGAAAACAGGGACCTCAAACTATAACATGAATGACCCTGGAGGTCACTATGCTGAAGGATATAGTCACAAAAGGACAAATAGTGCATAACACCACTGTTAGAAAACAGGACTGACATGGGTATAGGGGGAAAACTAAGAAAAGAGAGGATAAATAATGAATACTGCCTTGGAACAGATGAAGGAAAGTACTCTTTAAAGGGAATATATAGGCATTATTTGTATGACAGCAGTCTAGAATAAGCAAAGTGGACTAGAGGAGGAAGGAAATGATACAGCAATGATTTTTTTTTCCTTAAATGAACTTAAAAAAAGGGTAAGGAGGAAAATTACATTCATGAATGAAAATCCAACTTTCTGTAAACATTTTGTTAAAATCACAATAAAAACCAAAAAAAAAGTTATGTTCTGCAGACAGTATGCTGCATGCTGGTGTGTTTAGCTTTTTTGGTTTTGTTCAATAATAATATTGTTAAACATTGTGGCCAGTAAATTATAGATTTATCCCATTTACCTTATGAATGGAGACTAGTTTGTTTCACCATTTTCTTTGTCCCTGAATAGTCTGAAGATGATGAGAAGCTGAAAAAGAGAAAGGAGCGATTTGGAATTGTCACAAGTTCTGCTGGAACTGGAACCACAGAAGATACAGAGGTAAAATCTATTCCGTGATCCATAGAACGAACCCCTGAAGGGATGAGGGTGAAATACCCCAGTGTACTCTTTAAGTGCCCAGTGACAGATTTTCCCCTTTGCTTGATATATATAATGTTTTCTGTGTGAAATGGCAACAGTAAAGACCTCAGTATTCTTAATTCAGTGTTAAACCTGTTAGCCTAACAGGAAAGAGTACAAGCTTTGCAGTTAAGTAGAAGTGGATTTGGAAGTGCCTCTGCCACTTGATACTCAAGTAGAGCTTACAAGTTATAGTACTTTTCTAAACCTCAGTTTTATCATTTATGGGATGGAAGTAGTATACCCACCTACCTGTAGTGGTTGTACAAGAATTGTGATGATCCTACAAAAAAAGACATGAGCCTGCAAAATCCCATTACATTGTAAGTATTCAAGAAATGTTGTTGCTGTTTGTGCCATTAAGTCAGAACTTGACTCATAGCTGACCCTCCACTAGGTTTTCAGAGGCTGTGACTTGCACTTGACAGAATACCTTTCTCCCACAGACCAGTAAGTAGGTAAATTTGAACAGCCTGCCTATGGGTTGGCAGTGCAACTCCTTACCACTTGGCCACCAGTACTCTCTGTTCAATAAATGTTGTTGTTGAGTACTTTCAAGTCAGAACCAACCCATAGCTGACTCCCCACACTAGGTTTTCAGAAGCAGTAAATCGCACAGTAAATCCATCTTTTCTCCTATAGAACAACTGTTAGATTCAAACTGTTGTTTGAATACCTTTGGGTTGGCAGCATAGTTCCTTACTGTTAAGCCAGTAGAGACCCCTATTCAATAAATAGTAATGTTTTTTACTGTTTTCTGTCAGCCATATTTCATTTTGATAAAAGTAATTTCCAACCCAGATGAAAGAACAATTGTATCTAACTCTTCTCTGTGGAAATATGGACAGAGGATTCAGAGTTCTATCCTTCTTAAGACTTTATTTACAAATAGTTTCTCAGAGTGAAAGAATGCTTTTTACAAGATTTGTGTTCATGCATAATACATCTTCCCACATTCACTGACACTCTGAGAATTAACAAACAGATAATGCTGATTGGCAAGTATAATAAATCCAGATGTCACCTTGGGTGTCCATATAGTATAGTGGAGATAATGTTAAATTAATGACTGTGTTTAGAATTATAGAAAAATTCTCAGATGGTAAGAATTTTAAATGTTCCCTCCTTTTATTTAATCCATATTTTTCTACATCAGAAGTTGGCTATTACCTTCCAAACTCAAAATTCCATGAAATTCTTTGATGAATAAATGTTAAAATCAGTCTTATAAATAAAACTTCAAAGCTGAGTCTAATCAGTTTATTCTCTCAACTATTAGGGGGGGAAAACACAAAGAATTTGTACTCTGGGCTAATTCAGAATAGAATGTTATCAATATCTAATGAACTCTGACATGTAGTGATTAAAGTTGACATATGTAATCCTTCAGGGCATTAATTCCCTATTCTATAGGTTAACATCACAGAAATTGACTCAAAAACAGTTACTTTGTTTATTTTAAATATCTGCTTTTGTGTGTACAAGAATGAGCCAGAAGTAAACTTAATTTTGTTGTAATTTCTTGTCAAAAGTGCTGTCTCTTTGCCAAGATAACTTGTTAAACCAGGCATCCTTACTAAATCAGTAAATTTAACCTCTCAAAAATATAGAAGATGAGTATATTTTGTAATATTGGCGAATAGGTACTTTAATTGGAAAAGAGTAACTCTAATTACTAGTATCACTTACTATGTGCTAATTGGTTACTAAGTAATATTAGTAATATGTTAGGTATTTTTTAATATAGTAATATGAATAGCTACTTTTACTGGGAAAGAGTTGGTAACTCTTACTAATAATATTAATATTAGTAATTAATATTAGTTAATAATAGGTTAGGGAGTAGTAACTTCTCAGGCTCATAGAGATCGTATGAACCAGATCACTTTGTTTGATTGCAGAGACTGTATCAATAGTTCAGGTAGAGTGGGCTGGGTTTGTGTGCACTCTGCTTTTTCATTTTAACCTAACGTAAACCTCAAGTGTAAAGGGATGAAGGAAAGATCCCCTCTTTGCCAAGGGGGCTATTTGAGGGTGAAGAACGAAGGGTCATTCTGTGAGTTCCCTCCTAGAACAAAAAGATCTTTTCTCCTCTCTACCATTTCCCTTAATTTTGTGCTCGCTATCTAGTGCTGCTACTTCTCTTAAGACATCATTGACAGACTCACCCCCTAACCCCCTATTTATTCTGTTGGCATTGAAGATTTATATACCTTTCTGCGAGTTTGAAGGCCTAAGGAAGAGCTGCTTTCTAACTCTCCAGAAGGGCACCCCCCTCACCTCCATGAATAGCTTGGTTAACCCTTTATCCACTGAAAATCTCTCTTCACTGACTGGAAACCTTTCCCCAGACTTTTAAAGAATCCATTGTTTCCAGGCTAGTTTGCTGTAAAATTGAGTGGCCCTCTGTCTTTTAAGAATCCCCATGTTTTTCTACCACAAATACCCATTCTTAACATTCTTCTTTTATTAAACATCCCAAGTTCTAACTGTTGTTGTTGTTGTTAAGTGCTGTCGAGTTGCAGGCGACTCATAGAGACCCTATGAAGGAGAGTCCTCGACGCTTGGGTGCCTTTCATCCTCTCTCCAGGTTCATAGGGTTTCCAGAGGCAAGCTATTATAAGTGGATGTCAGTCCTCCTTCCAAAGCTCAAACTAGATAAGTAAATATATTCAGGAGTGAAATCTCTGGCTACCACATTTGTGCAATCACTCCCTCTTAGGTCTGTGACAGACAGTCATGGATTAAATATGAATTAAAGCAGCCAGGCCAGTGTTGTCCTAACAATCTAATGTTTTTATTCTTATAGGCAAAGAAGAGGAAAAGAGCAGAGCGCTTTGGAATTGCCTGATGAAAAGCTCTTTGTTTTCTGTTCTTTAGTGACCTCCATTACTCTGATCCTTCTTGGTCACATAAATACCTAAATGCACAATTCTGTGCCTAGGTCCTGCTCGCAATGAGGGAGCATGTACCCAAGGTACATCCATGAACTCCAGCAGCAATTTGACTTATTGCTGTTTCAACTTCAAGGTGGTGTTGTGTTTTCTTTCTTTTTTTAATTATGTTGCTTGTTAATAATAATAATAAAAAGACTGTAGAAAAGAGAGAAATGTGTTTTATTAGTTGCTTCTTTAGGCAGCTAGACCCAGATTAGACCAAATAAGGGGAGTTCTGAGGGGAATTTTATAGGGAATTAACCATAATGCCTTTGCCCCTTGAAAGGAAGACGAGGAAAAGGATTGAGTAAGTCTATTTCATGAAGCCCATTTATTCTCTTCTTTCATACTCATAGGTGTCCGTTTACCCCTTTATCCACAATGAGAAATGTCATTTTGCCTTATGAATCTTTGCTTCAGCTGGTTACGGTAACCCAGACTGATAAAATAGGGCAATACATGGGGATACATCTTTTTCTTAGGTAAAGTACAGCCCAGAATTTTCCAGGAATGGAAGGAAACCAACCCTATTTCGAGGAGTGGTCTGGTGTATGAAAGTGAACATAGTACTAATTCCAGCCAGCCAGCGTCAATACGAGAAACCCTAACAGTTTTGCCATTCAGGAGGGGAGGTGGGTTGGATACGCCTTAGAACTACAAGGAGTTGCAGGGATTCAAGCCATGGGAGGGAATGCCAGAGATACTGAGAATTATCAGTAAAAAAAGAAGTAGCACTAAAGACCTATGCCTTCTAATTAGATCTGTACTTGTCTGTTTGTCGGCTTCTGTTATTGAAAGATGTTACTGCTATATTGGTTGTAATGTTTCTTCATGGCTATTGTCAACATCCATTTTCCACACTAAGCCTCCTACTTTAGAAAAGTTTTGGCTCTTTCCTAGTTGGCTGCTGCTGCCTTCCCCCTCTTCCCCTGCTTAAGGTTTCACATGGATCGGAGACTTGTTACTTAATCTTCCTGTATATGTAGTATAGAGTTTCTCCTTCTAAATCTGTTTCTGGACAGCTGTAGAAGGCTTTTTGTAATAAAACTTAAGAGTTTGGCCCCTTATCTTTGTTACCAGGAACAGATCCCATGTTCTGTGGCTTAATCTCTTGTCTTCATTTTTCTACCAAAACCTACCTAGTTCTTTGATTCCTTCCCTAACATGAAGAATCTCTTTTTCCCCCCCATAGTACCAGGTTGGAAGCAGAAGTGGCATCCACTTCCTAAACAACAAGCTTCTGGAAACTCTTTGAGAAATAGTATTGAAAGGCTTCAGGTCTTTTGTTCATAGGGTTGCTATGAGTCATTCTCAACTCGATGGCAGTCAACAAAAACAAACACCAGGTTGTTGCAAGGAACAGAAACCTAACTTTAAAAGCTTATAAAAAATTACCTTGGAAAGGAGAACCAAAGGTTGCCTATTTCTTGAGAAGTTTACCTATTCTGAGACTTTGAAGATACTAACAAAAGGAAAAATTACTCATCTCATCCAGTTGAAATTATTTTCTTTCCTTCTGGCTGCTGCTTTTCTCCTTCCTCCCCATGCTTGCCTTTCCCCCCTTTACTCCAGATTTTCACTTTGAGGCCAACTTTTACCTTCTCTACCCTGGCTTTACATGAAAACAGAACCAGAAAACAATTTACGGATAGTAGCATGGGCAAGATTATAGGGTTTAGTAAGAATTAAAAGTAATAAGTGAGGGAATAGAGCAAGTGCTAATAATGGAATGGAGCATTGGGTCCTTCAGAAGTTCCGTCCCTTTTGTCTTCTTAATAACATCTATTACCCTCCAGAAATTTAATTCATTTACTCATCTAGACTCTTTTGTAGAAGGCTGATTATCTTCCCTCCCAATCCATTTTGTCCAGTTTTAAAAGTCTTTCCCAGTTTGTGGAAAAAATACAGATAAACCTAACATTTCATCCTGTTCTTGTCACAAATTCTTCTGGAGCACAAATAATTTAAGCTGGTTTTGTCTTCTGGCCAATTTAGCTTTAAAATAGTAGGCCCATTTAGAGAGACAGGTATACAAGTTCTCACTTCTTTGTCTGGAATCTCTTTCCTATCCAGCCCATCTTCCTACGGTACCCTGTCCAGGATACTGTGTTTAGCTGAGTAGAGTTTTCTTTTTCCTCTCCTGAAGCTGTGACATTCTCTTTATACCTAGAAACTTTAGATGAGGGAGACCTATAAAATCTAGAGAGAACTATCATCTCAGTTATAAAGCAGTACCTTTCTGTGGTTTTCTGGGATCGTTCCCCTTTTTTTCTATCAACACTCTAACCTGCCCTGTTTCAGTACTTAGAACTGAACATAGAATACCAGCGGTTTTGAATAAAGGTCTCTGACAATCAGTGTCACCTCTCATTATTGAAGCTTCCCCCACCCTCAAAAAAAAAAATTTAACCTCCCTCTTGCTACAAGGCTAGCATGTTTTTGCTTTCCCCTCTAAGGGGATTCAAAATGGCAGATTTTGTACCTTGGGGCCTTAGGTGTTCTTATCCTTCTCATTACCTTTTGTTTCTCTTGTCAGCTGCCCTTTGTTTATTCTTCTACTTCTCTGTTCATTATTAATAGATTAGAATACAATAGGTAAAATTCTGTGCAGCAGCTACTTAGATTTCATTCCTTGTTCCATCACACTAGCTTTGAGATTGCGGTCACATTAATCATTTCTCTTTTCAGACTCTGCACCAATAGGAATGCTATTGGGAAAGTTACTGTGAGAATTAGGTGATAATTAATCATATACTCAGTGCCATGTAATGAAGATAAGAGTTTCCCCTCCCACCAAGTAGGTACCAGCAAGAATGGACTGGTTTGAGTGTGTGAATGTGCATAGGCACACATGCCGGTGCATTAGAATGGAAAGAGGTAGGCAGTGTCCCAGTTGTTCCCTCACTCAGCTCGTAACACAAAAGCTGGAGTTAGGCTTGTGACTGTCCCATTGTAGACCATAATAAATGGCATTGCTTACTGGTTCTTATTTTAGGGTTCCTGACATTAAAAGGGGGTAGAAAGCAGGACAGATAAAGAAGAGACTTCAAAATCATCTTAAATCTCTTCAGATTGTCCTCTTAACACCCACTGTAGGAAACACATATATAAGCAAGAGAGGAAAGAACTATTTGGGGCTGAACTCAAAACCTGGGGGGATGTCATTGAAGAAGTTCTTTGGGAGAATACACTATGCAATACTTTGTACTCTTTCACTGTGTCCTAACATTTATCTTGTTGTCTGGACTAAAGTTAGTTTGATGAAAGAACTGACAGAACAGGGAAAGCAGCATGATGGTGTATTGTACTCAAAGTTGCCTTTCTGGCCTCTCACTATATTAACCAGATTAGTATTAACCAGAGCTTGTTTGTTTGTTTGCTTTCATGTGTGCCGGGCAAGATTCCTTAGTGACCCCTAACGCTTAATGCTCTAGGCACTGGGAGATAATTCTTCACAGTGGAATAAAAAATAAATCGTTGAGATGCTTAACTACACTTGTTAAACTGGCAGATTGTCTGGCTGTGTTGTTTGGCTTCTAGACTTTGGTGACATATTGTTGAGGAAGTTTGGGTCAAGGGCTACAGAATAGGAAAAATATTTTTATCATCTCTTGAGAACTTCTGGATTTCCCACTCTGAACGTAGGGAGAGATTTTGTGGTCTTTAGGACTGTTTTGGATCACACTCTACAAAGAAATGTTCTCCATCCCCTCGCTTTTCCCCATCCTCCCAGCTTCATTCACCTGCATGTCCCAGATTTTCATCCCATATACCCTTACTTGTTTTTCCTTGTTTCAAGGAGTTCAACGTAAGGATGAGCACAAGATTTCATCCTCCAGATTTTCTTCTGGTTTCCAAGGTATAAATAGGACTTTTGGCAAGAAAGAGGCCCTCAGCTCTGAATTCTAAACTCTTTGACTGCTTTATTTTTCCTTTTTTCAGGTTCAAGTGCTGGATTGTGTCATGTGACTATCCCAAAACTCAGAGCACCCTATGGCCATCTTTGCCCTCTGTCACATAACTTGAAAACTGCTTGATGGCCTTTTTGCAGTAGTTCCCTCCAGGAAGTCTTGATCTCAGTGAAGAAGTCCTTTCCCAGCATTCCAGTGCCCATCAGCCCCAATCTCCTCAGACACCCTTAACAAACAAAGGCAATCATACACAGTGTAACAAATACACAAAACAAGTAATTACACTAATTAGGATGTTTGGAGAGGCACTGGCCCAATCCACACACATTGTAAGGTGAAAAGGGGTGATGCTGCACTGTGCCCAAAGCCTCTTTGTGGGGAGGAACTGGAATGAGGCTTCAACTCACAGGTTTGTGTTCATAAAAGACCACCCCCCTCAAAGGTCTTTATTTGGTGGTAACTGAGGGGACATATTCTTAAGTGTCCCACAAAGTTTAGTGCCCCAGCTCTAAAATCTGTCGAGAAGTCACCTGATGCTTATTGCCCATCCCCCATCCTGTCCCAAGATCAAGAGACATTGGCATTTGACCTTGAAGGAGACATCTTCTGTTCATTTCGATGGTCAGGTGTATCATGATCTCCAAATTGGAACAGAAGGAGGGATAAAGAACAGCCAAAGTGGAGAGACTGGGGGTTAGCATTAAGTGGTACATATGAGCAGGCAAGTTGAAAAGCTTAGTAGTCCCTGTCCTGTCCTATAGTGAATCACTTTATTTCACTATGGGAATGGAAATACTAAAAGCTTATCAATACTGCTTTTCCTAAGACTAATCATATTTTCCCTTTCTACTGGCTGGGCCAAATGGGAGAGTCAAGCTTTGGAAACAAGCTTTCCAGGTCAGCTCTCCAGCTCAGGCCTTCACTTAGTTCAGTACTATTTTGTCTCAGACCTATAACTTCTGACTTGACTTGATAATTTTTGTTGAAGCATCTTTTCCCCTCATCTCCTGACATCTCTAGGCTCTTGCCTAGAGATAAGAGGTTTGGTGGTAGGGTAAGGATAGGGTGTGGGTCAGGAGACTTTCCTCTACTCCTTGGCTTCAGGCACTGTCCAGCTGGAAGGCAGAAGGGAACTTGTACTATGAAACTTGTGACCCTTCTAAGCCTCATATCTCTTCACCCCTGTTCTGGTGCCCTGGTTCTCTGTCCCACAGCTAGAGGTATTTTATGTCCATAAAGTGCCCGTGGTAAGTGCTCAGAATTCATCTCTTTGCTGTGGTGGGTGCTGCTATTTCTCATTCCATTGAGGGGAAGAAACTGAGGCACAGTTAAGTCCAGAGGAGAGTGAGTCAGGATTGTGAAAGAAATTAATAGGCCCAGCTAGTAACTTGGAATAGCAACCAGTCTGCCTGTTTCCTACCTCTCCAAACCAGGGAGTCTATCCTTCCCACCCTCTTCTGTTCACCTGTCCCCTCCCTGTTTACCAGGTACTGCTAGATTCCAAAAATAAAAGATAAAAATAATTATAGACATTCTGCTCCCTTGGTTCCCCTTCCACCCTGAGCTTTGGGGTTGGAGGACTAAATTGTCCCCCTACCAGAATCCCTTTCCCCTTGGCCTGCTGGCTCTGTACCCTAACCCAGAGCAGTGATTTGGATTCGAATGCCCTGTAACCTTCAGCCTCATTACTACTTTCTTGACCCCTCTTAACCTTCCCCAGATATGGGAAAATCTGGGATCTTGATTCTCATATTGACCTGAAGATAGAGGCTGGGAGCAGGGTCATTCCACAGGCTCTTTGGTCTCTCTCTTGGCTTGGAGGAGGAGGGAATTTGGGCATAAATAGGCTGCATCCTCTGACTAAATAACTTAGTACTATGAGGGTGAGCCTGAGGGTTCTTGAGTGGCTCTCATATTGATCCTGGATATCCTTGGTTCTCCCAGCTCCTAAACCCTAACCTCTTAGTATTTCTATGATCGCTGGCTTCAATTTAACCCCTTTGGCTCAGGAAGATTGAGTAGGGTGATTATGGGTTGAAAATGTCCATGTTTCAGCCCTCTTGCCCTCTACTGTTCCCAACCCTGGAGGCTTTAAACAAGTGCTTAAGTAGGTGGGTTTTAGAGGGGAACAGGGTTTGGGGGAAAAGGGACAAGTGGGCACAGTGGGCAGGGGCCCTCCTAGTTCAGTAAAGCCAAATACCAAAAAAAGTAGTTATAATAAATAAATAAATAAAATTCCAAAATCCTCACTTTTGCCCCTACCCTCATTTCTTTTCCCCTGACCACTGTTGGAGGGAGAGAGGGAAGAGCTAAGAGCGGATTTTTTATTTTCTCCTATTGAGAATGGTAGTCCGGGTCTCCCCAAACTACCAAGTCCCTCACTTTGCCAGTGGAAGAAAAGAGGCTTGCTGTAGGGTTGTCTCTTACTACTCCATTTCATTCGCTTCCTTCTTGTTTGTGTCTGCCTCCCTAATCTGTCTCTTTCTATCCCTTTGCCTTCGCACTGCTGGTTTTTTTTGTCCTTCTGTCTTTGTCCCTCTCCCTCAAATCCCTCAATCTTCAAACCTTCTCACCTGCATCCTCAAACACTCCTCATCCTAACCATGCCCTCTCCTTCCCCATGCCCCCAAACCCCTCAACCCTCAACAATCACCTGCCTCCCTCTGTTGTATTGCACACTGCTTGGGCAGGGAACAAAGTGTGATGTTGATAGGAAGAGGTGGAGAGAGCTCTAGGGCCTCGGGGTTTGGGGGTCAGCGGTGGGGTCTAAGGGCAGGGTTTGTTGGGGAACATCCTCTGTCCCCCACCTTAGGAGCAGCCACAGCGATCCACCACCATGCCAGGAATCTTGCCGTAGATAATCTGCTGCTTGTCATTGAAGTAGAGCATGTTGATTGGAGACATCTTGGTGGGAGTACAGCAGGGCCCAGCAGAGCCTCTTGGATTGGCCTGTTGCACCAAGTGGGTGTGCGGATACTTTTGCATAAACATGTACTCGCACTGGCCAGAGCAGTAGTTGGCCTTGTAGCGCTTAGGTGCAATGATCCAATCCCAGCCGAAAGCCTCAAAGTCCACTGTGAGGGGGTATCGGCAGCAGCGGGACTCACTTGAGTGCTCATCACAGTCCAGGCCTAGGTTCCTCCGGGATCGTTTTGTGTTCTCTAGGACCCGAAGCTCCATGAAGGGATGCTGGAGGTGGGAGAGGAGAGAGAGAATTGTAACATGGCCCGAAATTGCTCCTGCTCCCTGTTCTCACCTGCCTGTGAACAGCAATTTCAAAACAGAAACTTCTCAGCTTTTCCACTGATCCCACCCTTAGCCTACATTTTGCCAACTAGTCACTTCTCGACTACTATCCTAATTCTTTGTCCCCTGACAAACTGATTCTCATCAGCCCCTTGACTTAGGGCCTCAACAGCCAATTTTGCTGTTCCCATGGATCTCTCATTAACTGACACCCTCACCCCAAATCCAGTTTTCAGCTGTTGCCTGGCATAGATCTCTGAAAAGTAATAGCTTTTACCAACCTGCCCTCCCCTATTCTACAGTCAGCTCCTAGTCCCAGAGCAAGTGCTGGTTCCTATCACCTTGCACATTCCTACTTTCCCTCCAACATCCCCACTTCCTTGGGACTAGGTTACCTATCTGCCACCACCTCAGGCCCCCTGCTCACCAGCCCCTCAGCTCCCGGCCCCAGGGAGGTGACAGCCAGGTCTGTTCCACTGGGATCAAAGGCGTTGATCTCGATGCCCCAGTTGCTCTGCGGCTGGCGGAACCAGCTGTGTAGCACCTGCTTGAAGTCGATGCTCTGCCAGTGGCCTGAGCGTGAATGCAGCTCAATCTTGAGTGAGCGGATACGGATATGACGCCGCCCTCCACCCCCTCCCCCTGCTGTCCCTTCCCCAGTTAGAGGTTTCAGTCGCAAGATTTGCAGGTAGACAGTGGCAGGGCGGGGCACGGGCCGTAGGTACACCCACAACTGGGCCTTCAGTACCTTTGTGAACATCACCTTGGGGCTGAAGTGGAAATGGCAGCAAAGAGGGCTACCATCTGTCTGCACCGCGGGGTCCGCTGATGGGAAAGAAGGGGGCACAGCATCAGCAAAGGGTGTTTGAAGAGGGGGTCAGCAGCCCTGAGTAGAAAGGGCATAAGATGAGGCATTGGCAATTTTAATCCTCAGTCTGAGTTTCCAAATCTTTACACTGCATTTCCCGTCTTGTTGAATACCTTGTTTTCTGCCGCCCAGCACGATGCCTTCTCTTTCTTTGTTGGCAAACTCTTGCAGCCCTTATGTATTGATATATACCCATTCTTTAATCCATTTATTCTAATGGGCAAGTTCCCCTCTACTAGGTAATTTGCAAGGAAGTCCGGTGGCCTAGTCCCTAGGGTTGTGCTGCTAACCCAAAGGCCATGCCCCTCTGATGGTCTGGATAAGGATACACCAGTGGTCCTGCAGAAGAAAAATGGGCAGTCTCCCCTGAAATTTCCAGCCTTGAAAACTCAATGGAGGGTCAGCTCTGAATTGGTTCTGACTGGACTATAATGAGAATTCTGAGAAGCTCTGGTGGCCTCCTGGTAAGCTACACTGCAGTCCCGAAGCCGTGCAGCTCAGTTCCACCACAGGAGAAGGATGTGTAATGAACTGCCCCTGAAAACTCAACCAGAGTGTCAGCTGTGGGTTGGTTCCGACTCAATGGTACACAACAACAACATAGTTATTAGGGAATTTCCTCCACCTGCATCTCCCCAACTTCCCCTGGCAAGTTTTTCTGAAACTTTATGTTCCTAACTTCCCTGTCTCACACCTGCTGTCTCAGGCTACCTGGCCAGGTTTCTACTGTTCTGTCTGGTAAGCAATGAAGCCTGCCATAACACCCCTAAACAGGTGACCTTATAGAGGGGATAACCCAGGGGCCAAGAACAGTGTGTGGGATAAATTTACATCATGACATAAACCAGGATTCCTATGTAGATCTTTTCCCTCTTGCACACTAGAAACCACACCTAGCAACCCATGCGCTTCCTAGACATTTGATGCCTTCTTCCTTTCCCTTCGGCAAGTTTCCCCAACTACTTCCTTCTTATCACATTTACTGCCTCTGCTTTTAAGGAGGGGAAAACTACCTTAATGTTTCCTATTTTCCAGAGATAATATTACACACACACATACCAAATCAGCTGTAATCAATCTGGGTGGTTTTTTGTGTTTTTTTTTTACCTTAAGTCTCCACTGGTTCCAGTAAATCTTTATAAATATTCAGCATCCATTCTTTATATTTTGACCCAATTCCCCTTGTTCTGACCATCCTAGGGTCAAACGGGTTCAGAATATTCACTTCTGCCTCCCCGCTCCTTCCAGTGGCCCTCAAGCATGTCTCTGTTCTTCCTCTAGGGAGCTCTGGTGGTGTCTGCACCAATCTGCAGAGTTGCATTGCCAACCCAGAGGTGGTGTGTGTCTGTTAGAGGGCGAGCTATGAGTCAGGTCCAACTCAGCAGCAACAAGTGTGAGGTTTTTTACTTTTTCCTCTAAACATCTAGACAAATGGGGGTGAGGGGGGAAAGCTCAGGAATGAACTTCCATAACTACATAGTTATGACCCATAAGTCCAGGCCTTTATAAATTACGCTCAGCTCTAGAGTTCTGCACTATCATGAAACTTACTAGACATCTATCAGCAAGCTTCAAGCCCTGTTTCCCCAAGAGGGCCTTCTAAGTGGGACAGCCAGGAAAGTCTTCATTAGTTCCATATACTCAAAGCATGACAGACAAAAATCCCCCTAAAAAATTTTTCCTTTTCCTTAAGCCTCAGGGTTTACTCAGCTAACTCTCCCAGCTATCCTGCTGGGTGATTCCAGCAGAGTTGTCTGTCTTCTTGCCTGTCTTTGCCTGTCGGTATTCATATGTGAGTGCTGTGTCAGTTTTACTCACTGCTGATGCATTCCTGCCTCCCATAATCCTATGCAAATGAAAACCCAAACCTATTGCCTTCAAACTCTTAGCAACTCTATAGAATACAATAGAAAGCTTCATAGGGTTTCTAAGGCTGTAAATCTTTACAGAAGCAGACTGTCACATCTTGTGGAGGAGGATAGTGAGTTAAAGCCTAGTGCTTTCATCAGTGTGCCACCGTAGTCCCAGGCAGTCGCTTAATTTCTCTCCCCAGGCCATAAGGCCCCACTCCTCCTAGCCAGTATCCTTCCTGCCCTTGGCCCCTCTAGTCCTAGTTGGGAAAGTGTTTGTTGAGAAGGGGGTGTCCCCCATACTCTGCTCAATAGACTCATTGTAAATGGATTCCTTCACTTTGTTTCTCCCTTCCCACCAGCTTAAATGATATAAACAAGTGTCTGAAAGTTCTTCCTAGCATCAATGCAAATGGATTTAATCATGGTCTGACTCCTCTCTTACCAGTATCTGTTCTACCCGCTAAATTTCTCAGTGTGGTACAGAGAATACTTGCTTCATAGGAGTGCTGTGCATTTAAATAAAGAATGTGAAAATAGTAACTTCTCAATAAATTCTGGTTTATTGTTAGTTTTTCTTGTCTACTTTAAAAAAAAAGTCATTTATCTTCTACCTCTAAACATACGCCCCCATCCAAGCTGACCCAGGGCTTGGAAATATGCATCAGTGCCCTATCCCAACCCAGGGAATCACCATACACTTGGATCGCCAGTGATGGTGGGAAGAGTCAATAGTACAAGGGAACAGGACCTAGGGTGTAAAAAGGGAAGGAGGAAGAGGGTGGAGATGGTGAGGAAGATAAAAAGCGGTTAGGAATGGAGGCTGGTAATAACAGACTGGCAGAGAAATGGAGGAAAGCAGAAATAAGTTTAGCGGTTGAAGAGAACTGAGAGAAAAGGGGTTGGTGCCAAAGGAGTGGCTGTATGGAGGTTAGAAAGCTAAAGGAGGAAGGTCCCTAAGCCCAGTGGGGTAAGCCAGAGAGATAGGAAGGGCATAGAGAAGGGAACAAAGGGGAAGCAGGTAGAGCCACAGGGGGGCTTGAGAGAGTCCCCCAACATACACATAGGCCCAACCTCCATGTGGAAAGGATGAGGCCACATCTGTGTTGGATAGACCAGGTTAGAGACAGGCAGGTCAGGTTTATCACCAGTGCTGGTCAGGAGAGAGGTCACTGCACTATTTTCAGTCAAAGCCCAGTCCCCTCTCCTTTAATACACCCCCCCCCCAAAGGCTCTCCCAGCCAGGACTAGAGGGCCTAGGGCAGGACGTTGGGCACAGAGGGTAGGGGCCTCAGGGCATGGGAAGTAGAAAGAAACTGAGTGGCTGGGCTTGGCGCTCACAAGGGCAAGGGGGCTGAGTTCCCAGGATGAAGGCTGGGGTGGGAGAGCTAGGGAGGGTGGAAGGAACTAGGGCAGGCACTGCAGCACAGGAGAGGTGGGGGCTGGGGTCCAGGGTTGAAGACTGGGGGAGGGGAAGGAGGGGGAGGGGAGTAGAGGCCATCTCTGCTGGCGAACACCTCCCCCGATTAGCAGAGCACAAGTCTCTTATTAAAGCGGGTCCCTGGGGATTAGACTATAAAAGTCTCTTTTTCCTTTTCCCCTCTCTCCCTCCCCTCCCCTCCACTCCCCCTCCCTCTCTTAAGAGCTCAGCCAGACTCTTAAAGGGGAAGTACAATACCTGGCCAGAAATCCAGTTCCTTAGATATTCTGGTTCAAGGGTGTTATTGAGGGTGGAAGTTAAGAATAGGGCCCTTTCTGCACCTGTCCCCCAAAACCTCACACTGCCCAATCCATGCATGAAGGATTCGTTCACTTTCTGCATCCTGATTACCAGAGCTAACTCTGGGCTCAGGCCTGTGAGTTAAAGGATGATGGGGCAAGAGGCATGGGTGTACACAACCCCATTACTCAGTCAGGAAACCTTCACAACAAACACTATAGAATTTCCCCCCCCCCCTGTACTCTTCATCTGCTAACAGCAAAATCAATCATCTTAATTCCTCTACAACTCTGTTTCTTAGAATCCCTCATCACCACCTTGACCTCAATCTCAGACTGACTCTAGCTTGCATAATCAAGAAGCCTTAAGAACAGAATGGAAACTGAGGAATCCAAGACCAGATCCCCATTTCTTCTCTCCCCTACCCTTAGTTTCCTAGTCTTTTGCGTTTTCTTTAGCCCAGAACAAGCAGTGGAGTTGGGGTCTGCAGAAATCTGGTTATGTTAGTATGAGGCACTCAGCCTCTCAGATGCACACCTGGGTTCCTATGCCTCTCCCATGGGGGTGGGCCAGCAGGATTTCCCTCAGCCCCCAGCTTTTTATGACCCATCTGCCAATAAACCAGTACACACACACACACACACACACACACACACACACACGCAATTCTGTTCAGGGCCATAAAACCCAGAGAGTGAGGAGGGAGGATGTACACAGAGAGGGCTTTGCCAAACCACTAGAGAAGATGAGGGCCGGGTTCCCTGGAGTTGCCTCCCTCCGTGGGGGAGGGGAAGAGGGGAGTCAGCTGACCCTAGGGAGAGCAGAAGTGATGGTGGTGGTAGTAGTAGTGGTGGAGTACCGGCCTGGATTTTCCAGGCCATAAAATTTCAAAGCAGCTCAAGTCTATTAACATGTTCATCTTCCTTTTGGCCAGGGACTCGGATGCCTGGGTTACCTCCCTCTACCCCAATCTCTTCCCCCCACCCCCACCCCGCTTCTCTCTATGATTCTCTCAAATCCGGTTGTAGGCTGGAAAGGGTGAAATGAGAGAAGGTACATAAAGCTTTGAAGAGTCAAATGGGTGCTCTTAGCTTCCAGCGCAATGGAGTTCAGTTCCCTGATCTCGAGCTCCGCCAGTCTGGAGAAGGCACAGCTTTCCCAGTCCCTTAGTAAATCGAGTGTGTGGTACGACTTGGGGTGGAGAGGCTGCCAGCTGGGCTGCCAATAGAGAAATAGGACTCTGGAATTCTATTCTTGGGAGAGAGAGGTGCACTTGGGTCTTTGCAGCCCAGTGGGCGCGCTGCAGAGCCTGAGATGAAGGAGGTGCGGAGTTGGTGCCAGGGCCGTTTGGAGGCAGAGAGCACCGCAGCTTGACTGGGACTTCCAAATTCTCCAGTCTCCCCACCACAGCCCTTCAGGACAAAGTCGCTATCCAGTTCCTTTCGCTGAGGGTACCTGCTTCCCCTACAAGGTCTTTTGCGCACTTTAGGGGCGGGAAGCGGTACCTCGCAATCCCTATCTTTGCCCCCCACCTCCACCTCCAGAAACCCGCGTGCATACAACTCCGCAGCCCATCTCCACCTCTGTAAACTTGTAGGGAGCAGCCCCCGCCCCCAGCCCGTCAAGTTTTCGCAGAAAATGTTTCTCAGTCCGGGCAGCCGGGAGCACCCCGCTACAGAGCGCGAGATGCACGCCTTCCCGGGGGCCGGAGCTTGCTCCCGACCACTCGCGCCCAGCGCCCACTTACTCTCCTGGGCCATGCTAATGACGGTCTCAGTAGTGGCGTGGTACTCATCCTCCTCCAGGAAGTCTTCGGGCTGCAGCGCGTCGCCCTGGAAGTCGTGCAGGTCCAAGATCTGCTGCAGCGGCGGCGCCTTGGGCAGCAGCTGCTTCACCACCTCGCGGCTGATGTTGGGCGCCTCCTTGAGCCGCAGTTTGCTGAGAATCTGAGACTTGATGCTCTCCAGGCGCAGCTCGCGGCTGTGCTGCCTCCACACGCACACCGGGCAGCTGTCGGGCTCCGGCGCCGCGGACGGGGCTGGCCGGCTCGTGCGCTCCCCC